ACCCTTTCTGAAGAAGGGTCTAGACCCGAAACATCAGCTTTCCTGCTCCTCTGATGCTGCTTGACCTGCTCTGTTCATCCAGCTCTACACCTTGTTATCTAAAGGCAGAGAGACTATGATCACACCCAGACACATTGCCCGAGGCTCAGCACTCATGGTCGGAAGGCATGGGGAGATGGATTGGCGGGGCATGATCGCACAGAGTCGATCAGGGAGAGTGTGTGGGGGCTGAGGTCGCTCGCTCACCTTCAGGTCGTACTTCCTGTGGACGGTGAGCATGTAGCTGAAGACGTTGCGCATCACGAGGATGTAGGTGTCCTCACCGTCAACAGTGAGCCGGTACATCGCCAGGAAATGGGGCAGGACAATGTTCCCATGGCAGTTCACAACGTGCTGCAGGGGTAAGAGGGAGACACAACAAACAGACACACATTAACACAATGGCAGGAGGCCATTCAGCCCCCCTCCTCCTCGAGCTTGGCACACAGGGAACAGGAGGTGGCCTTTCAGCTCCCCTTCTCCTCGCGCCTGGCACACAGAAAACAGGAAGAGGCCATTCAGCCTTTTCTGTCTGAGACCACAATAACCCTCAATTCCCAGAGGAGGAGTGGAGGTGGAGGTGGGGCATGAGTCTGAACTATGTTTTGGGGGAAGAGAAGGTTAGCGCACAGCGGGCGAGAGCGCGCGCGAAGTAAAGGGAGGGGGAGAGGGAGCGAGCGAGGTAATGGGAGGGGGAGAGGGAAGGGAAGTGAGCAACATAACAGGAGGGGGATGAGGAGGGGAAGCGAGCGAGGTAACAGGGAGAGAGAGAGGTGGGGATGAAGAGAAAAAGAGAGGGACAGAGGAGAGAAAGAGAAAGAGAGGGGGTGAACAGAGAAGAGGGGAGAGAGAAAGGGGGAGAAAGAAGATAGAGGAAAGGAAAAGAGGGAGAGGACAGAAAGAATGAACTGACAGAGACAGAGAGCGCAGAGAGGAGAGCTCAGGCATCAAGGGACAGGGTGGTGGAGAGCAGAACGGGAGTGGAGTGGGAGAGGATAGGACTGGTTGTCTGGGGGTAGGTCAGGTTTGAGGGGCCAAGTGGCCACCTCCAACCTCTCCAATCCTTTACCCTCATCATCCTCGGGGGGGCGCAGTGTCAGGCCGGTTCCCCCCATTTTATCTGCCAGTCACTAACCGTCAGCCTCCCGTCTTCCTGGACGTCTATCCCAGGGGACAGACACTCACCTCGTGGTAGTCCGAGAGAAAGCTGTGCATTTCTGCCACGTCTTCGCTGGAGATCTGCTTTATCACGTATTTCTTGTCGTAGCTGCTCAGGAACAGCACAGTGTTCCGCACCTCGTTCTCACTGTACGGGGCACTACGGGTCATTGACGCCTGGGCCACAGAACAGATTACAACGGGGGTTAGATACAGAGTAAGGCTCCTCTACGCCGTCCAGTCCATCAAACACTCCCAGGGACAGGGACAGTGACAGTACGGGGTTACATACAGAGTAAGGCTTCTCTACACTGTCCCCCCCATCAAACACTCCCAGGGACAGGGACAGCACGGAGTTAGACACAGAATAAAGCTCCCTCTACACTGTCCCCCATCAAACACTCCCAGGGACTGGGACAGCACAGAGTTAGATACAGAGTAAAGCTTCCTCTACCCTTTTAAACGGAGAGTAAAGCTTGTTCTTCACTGCCCCCTCATTGGGAATTAGTTTGTGTATTTAACATGGTCCGAAGCGTTCCTTTGTCATCCGTACTCAGGACCCCACCAGGCTCCCCTAGTGATTGGGACTGAGCGGGGCAGAGGTGACCAACACTGGGGAGAGAGGTGTGTGTCTGTGTGTGTTGGGGAGTGGGGGTGGGGGTGGGGGTGGGGGTGGGGTGAGGTGAGGTTGACGGAGTGGGGGTCCATTCTGAGGGACGGGAAGGGACCACTCACCAGATAATCCTGGTCATCAATGTTGAATCTTTCCCGGAGGTTCCTGAAGACCTGGGGGCAGTACTCCTTGAACTTGAAGTTACTGGGCAGATTCTCCCTGCGCGAAGGGAGAAGGATGTGAGCGAGGGGAAGGAGGAGCAGGAGAGGTATCTGGAGGAGGAGGAGGAGGATCTGCTCGAGCCCCTCAGATCACCCGTTTGGCCCACCACCGCAACACAGCCCGAGACAGATCCCTTCCAGCGCCGTATTAGTGCAGGACCGTTCAAGAGGGTATGTCAACACTCACTCCCTCTACCTCTGTCCCCCCCACAAACCCGACGCACAGCCGCAACAGTGTGTACCCTTTACGAGATGCACCGCAGTGACTCGCCGAGGCACCTCCTCCTCCGACTGAAGGCACCTTCAGAACCAGACACCTCTTACCCACCCCCCACCCTGCCAGAAGGGCGAGGGTTGGCAGACACAGTTGGGAGCACACACACGCATGAGAGAGAGGGGGCGCATGCACACCATCGAGAAGGGGAGGGGGGGGAATGCGTGTGCACCATTGAGAAGGGGAGGGAAGAGAGAAGGGGAGGGGGGGAATGCGTGTGCACCATTGAGAAGGGGAGGGAAGAAAGAAAGAGAGGGGAGAGCCATTGAGAAGGGGAGGGAAGAAAGAGAG